GCGGCTGGCGAGGCGAGAAGATCTTCGACGGCGGCAAGCGGAGCTGATGGAAGACAACAAGGTCCAGCATCTGAACGGCATGACCGAGGAGCTGGCTGGCAGGAGACGGTGAGGCAATCCCTCGAGGTGTTGCAAAGGGCCTTTGGATCAACTTCCCAAGGACCGATGCCGGTGGGACCTCCGCCTCCTGAAGGACTACTTGGACCTCTATTTCATGGCCGCGATCCAGGACACCCTCGCGCTGATGATCCGGGACAACCTGGAGGGCAAGGGGCTTGGCAGCGGGAGGCAGCGTCATCGCCTCAGTTTCCGATTCCGCCGAGAGCGGACAGGAGCAGCATGAATGGTGAAGGTGGTCCACAACCTAGAGTACTTGAGCCCTACGACATGTCCACACCCCATCAACATGGGCGGCAGCAGACCAATCCTTTTTGGAGTGACCGTGGACGTGCACCTGATGTGGCATCCCGTTCTGAACGTCCTCGACCCCCTAGTGAAGAGGTGAAGAGAAGCCCTACGTCTCAGGAGCTGGAAGCCATCCGGGAGCGCATCCTTCGCGAAGCCCACTTGAACTTTGAGAAGGAGGTCAAGAAGCTGACAGGTGGTGGAGGTTCGTCGACGTTTGAATCGGCGAATAGTGTGGGCGAGCGGGCGAAACTTCGTGGTTCCACTGATGGTCAAGGTGGGAACTCTGGTGATGGTGTTGGTGAGTCACTACCTGATCGACCCCCTGGATTACATGAGACCACAACCGGGACATTGTCATCAGGGTTTGGTGGTGGAGCAGGAAAGGTGACCAGAATTGGGGCTGGAATTCCCGTGGCATCGACGACCGAGGCTCTGCGAAATTTGGAGCTTCCCTCACTTCCAGCACCCAATGGAGAAGGAGCTTCGATTCTCTTCGGCGACTGGCTGACTATGGCATTCCCGCTGATGGCTGACATCTCCAACTCGGCGAAGGCCTGGTGGGAAGAGTCCTTGATGGTGGCGCAGGAGCACTACTCCCGGTGGCTGCGACTGAGTCCGCTGGAGAGGCTGAGATCGAAACCTCAAGTTGAAGTGGACCCAGCATTTCAACGGATTGAACAGCGTGGAATTGCCATGCTACTTGGAGCACTACCTGATCAGCTTCGTCGGGACTTGGTGTCTGGCAGGCAGCTGTCCGTGGTGCACATCCTGTACCGGCTCCATGTGGCGTACCAGCCAGGAGGCGGCGCTGAAAAAACGCAACTCCTCAAGAATTTAGTGGAGTCGAAGTTCTCCACATCGGTGGGAGAATTGTTGATGCAGGTCCGGTTGTGGCGACGTTGGCTATCTCGTGCTCAAGAACTTCACCTCAACCTTCCGGACCCTCTGGTCCTCACGCACGCCCTGCAGCGCATGATCGACAGCACCCAAAAAGCAGGCGGCACTCAGGTGTCATTCAGGATTTCAAATGTTCGTCAAGAACTCCGAGTTGACTATGCAGCTTCATTGGAAGGAGTCACTGAGCTAGCTGAGTATGTGCAGGCGGAGATCGAAGAAATGTCCCTCACTGCAGCTCAGAAGGGTGGTGCACCACTGGCTCAGCCGGCGGCCTCGTCCAATCAAGCGGTCTCGACGTCACTGAAGGCCATGGCATCGTCGTTTGGAGCGGCTGAGAATGAGGAGCGAGCAGGAGGAAGGCTTGCTTGCAAGTTCTGGAAGTCGGAGGAAGGCTGCAGGAGGGGAACATCTTGCACCTATGCCCACGACACCTCGGATATGAAGAACCGGTGCTTTGGTTGCGGTGGGAACCACATGAAGCGTGAATGTCCTCACCAACCCAAGACTGGAAAGACTGATCCAAAGAAGGTCTCAAAGGTGAAGGCCACGAAGGAAGGAGAGAAGGGGGAGATCGTCGAGAAGATCGCCAAGGAGCAGCCCATAAGTGAAGAGCCGTCTCCGGGGTCATCGCCGCCTCCTACCACGACCACTTCGAGAATGGCAGGAACACCTGAGAAGCCACTGGGTCGGGAAACTACGGCAGAGTTGCTGTCGGAGGCAACGTCTTTGCTCAAGACACTTCGGAGCATGAAGGTGCTTCGTGTGAAGGAATTGAAGCCGGTTGGCACTGATGGTTTGGCACCTGTTGGATTGCTGGATGGAGGGGCAACCAATGGTCTTCGTCGAGCACATGAGCAGGAGCTGGAAAGGATGTACCCGGTGAGGGTGGAGTTGGCCTCAGGGTCAACGACGTTGTTCAGGGTGGATGACCACAAGACCTTGCTGTCCAAGGACCACGTGGAGGTCATTGCCCCGCTCCATCGACTGGTGGGCTTGGGGTATCGGCTTCAGTGGACGGCGGCTGGAGTGAAGATCAATCACCCTGATCATGGCAGGATTGACTGCGCGCTTCGTGGGGGATGTCCGGTTCTACCTGAGGCCAAGGCGCTGGAGTTGCTCAGCACCATGGAGAAGGCAGATCGGGGGGAGATCTTCACTGATGATGAAGTACGATCATGGTGGTCATCAAGATTCCCTGAGGTCCCTGCGGAGGTGTGGGAGTTCATGAAGGGCCAGGACAGCTTTGATGCTTGCACTTGCCCCTGGAATCGACGTCAGCGGCGACGACACCTGGCGTCTCGTGGTGTGATTGTCAACCTCTTTGCCGGGAAGGACTATAAGAGTTGGTCTAAGACGGACTGGGGTGGCTTCGAGATTTTGAATGTGGACGTGACGATGGGCGCACAGTTCGACCTCCATGGCATTGGAACTTGGGGTTACCTATGTCATCTAGCTCGACGAGGCTTGGTCGTTGCTGTGTTGGGAGGGCCGCCATGCCGCACGGTGTCACGGTTGAGGCACCGAGCTCCGGGTCCACGCCCTTTGAGAGGTCGAGATGACCGCAGATTCATGCTGGAGGGACTTTCTTCGCCAGAGCAGGAGCTTGCCCTCAGCGATTGTGCGTTGATGATGAAACAGATTGGTCTGTGGCTCCTCGCTGATGAGCATCGTGGAGGACGACCAGCACCTGGATTCCTGATGGAGTCACCAAGAGACCCCATGGATTACATGTCAACTGAGGCCACCAAGGAGGACATGCCGAGTTTCTGGAACTTTGAGGAAGTGAAGAAGGCCAGAGAGCTGATGGGCGCATCCTTGCTGACCATGGATCAAGGGCCTATGGGCCACGTCAAGAGAAAACCAACATGTTTGATGGTCGCCAACCTCCCACAGATGAAGGAGTTAGATGGCGTGTCCGGAGAAGGTAGAGGAGAAGTTGAAGCAACATCGCTCACTGGGAGACTGGCTCAATCGAGGGAGTGGTCGTCCTGGGCACCGGGCTTGGTGGCAGCGGTGAAGGAGTGCTTGAAGAACTTCCTCCTGGACTACAGGCGCAGGTGGAATGCGGAGGAGATTGTGCACCACGGCGAACCTGGAGTGAAGCGAATGAGCATGGAAAGTTGGAAAACTCATGTTCGAAATCAACACCAACCCTACAGGAGGGATTGTCGGCGATGCATGGAGCTGATGGGCGTGGATGCACCGCACCGGAGGACATCAGGAGATCGATCAGCTTACTGCCTGTCCTATGACATTTTGGGACCAATGCCACTGGGAGATGATGTGGGCTTGAGCACAAAGGCGAAGTACATCATGGTGGCAACGGTGGCCATTCCAAAGCTGCCTCGTGGTTTGGGGGGAGATGGAGATCATCCGCAAGAAGATGATGAAGACCGCCCTGACGATCGAGAAGATGGTGAACAAGGTCTTGCCGATCAAGGAGGCGATGGAGATCCCGCCAATCAAGAAGTTGGCGAACAGGTTCTGCCTCAGCTTGATGAAGTCGAAGATGAGGTCCGGGTTGCGGAGGAGGATGCAGTCGCTCTCAATGAAGGCTGGAGAAAGCACATTGATGATCTGGCTGCGCCTGTGGGAGTTCAAAATATCACACTGGTGGAGCCCCTGGAGTCGAGAGGTCAACATGATGTCACAAAGGTGGCCACAAGGATGTACTGCCGCTTCAAAGCGATGGGCCTGAAGATCATCCGTGTCCACACCGACAGAGAGTGTGCTTTCTTCTCCAAGGTGTTCCAGTCCTTCTGCCGGCGATTTGGCCTTTACCAAACTATGACGGGGGGTGATGAAGGCCCCTCAAATGGGAGAATTGAAACAGAGGTGCAGCAGGTTAAAAGACGGCTTCGGATGTTGGTCAGAGAAAGTGGCCTTGGTGAAGAGCTGTGGCCTGGCATCGCTCGCTATGTTGGCGAGGAAAGACTGCGGCATCAATGCGCCAAGCTCGGAGTCCCTTGCACGCCGCTGATGCCAATTGGAGCCCGTGTCACTGTGAAAACCAAAAGGTGGCACAGAGCTGGTTTTGGGCCTTTGATTCCGCCCTTTCGCACGATGACCATCCTCGGACCATCACCTTTCATGACGGAGGGCTATGTGTTGAGGGAAGGTCAACAAGTTCAACGCGCACGTGTGGTTGTCCTCACTGACCCGATGGCTGATCGAGCTGTTCTGGAACTTCAGGAAGCTTCCGATCCGTCACGCCCTTCGCACCGGGTGATGGGGAAACAGCCGCCTGATCCGTGCTTGCCGCAGATTCCGGCGCCAAGATTGAGTGATGATCTACACCTTCAAGCTCTTCAAGCTGAACGCGGTTTGGGGGGAGAGCGCAAAGAAATTGGTCCAGCCCGTCACTTTGTTTGGTCTGGGGGGGAGTCTCTCCTCCTGAAAAGCAGTGACGGTGGTGAAATTCGAAAAGGAGATGATGGTGCACACTGTGAACCATGGGTGTGTGGCGAATGCGGTCTTCAGGTGCTCCCGGTGAAGTGTGGTGACCAGCGGGAGTATGTGATTGGCAAGTTGAAGGAGGTGGAACAGTGTCGCTTCTGCGAAACACCATTCGAAACTCCAGGCAATGAAGTGATGCTGGGGCGTGTGGAGTGTGAGCTGAACGAGGCACTGAAGCTCCGTGAACATGGAGAAGAAGAACACTGGAGCTGGAAGCGTCTATGGTCGGACCTCGCAAAGGATGTGGTGGTAGGTGAAGATGAGGGGACAATGCAGGGCTACATCCTCGACTATGTGGAGAAGATGGTCTTGGAGATGGAGAACAAGTTGACTGACATGCGAGGCGATGATGAGAAGATCCAGATAGCGGCAATGGCTGTTGATGTCTCGCAATCGCCGGAGCAGCAGGCAGTCCACTCGGTCCTGCAAACCTACACGGTGCCCCTAGCACAGGTTCGAAAAGATCTTCCACTATGGATTCCGCCTCTCAAGAACGAGGTAACATCGCTGGAAACGTCAACGACAGCTGTTCGGCCTGTGAAGGTGAAGGATTTGGTGAATGAACCGGGCTATGAAGAGATGCTGGTGGTCCCATCGAAGGTTGTCCCGACGGTGAAGGCCCCGGATGCTCGCAAGAAAGCCCGTATCGTTCTTTGTGGCAATTTGGTGGAGGACACCTCAAAGCGTCGAGAACAACCTATGGCCCTTGAGGATCGTCAAGATGACCAACCGCCTCAACAGAAGACCATGGGAAGCAGTTTTGATTTATATGCCAGTGGCATCGATGGGATGTCATTGAGGTGCACGTTGCGAAAAGCGGCTCAGGAGAAGTGGTCCATCGGGGTTACTGATGTCTCTACAGCGTTTTTGCTTGCACCTCGGAAATCGTCCAGGCTGATGGTGACGAAGCCGCCGTCCATACTGGTAGAGGCTGGACTCATCGAGCCTGACATTCGCTGGGTGATCGAGAAGGCGGTCTACGGCCTAGACACATCTCCCTCTGACTGGCAGGCCTACAGGGATGAAGCGCTGCAGAGCATGCGGTGGTGGGAGGATGGGGTGCACAATTGGGTGGTTCCCACTCCGGAGCCCAACGTGTGGCGACTGATGACTGCACCTGGAGGTGAGGAGGAACTTGTGAAGGTGATGGATGATGGGTCAACGGCAGGGTACGCTTTGTCCTATGTCGACGACTTCATTGTCACTGCGCCTCGTCCCACGGCGGAACGTTTCCTGAAGAAGCTCTCAACCATGTGGAAGTGCGCTGAGCCAAAGTGGGTGACTCAGCACCAGTGGTTGAAATTTTGCGGAATAGAGATGAGGTGGAAGGGTGATGAGTTGTTGGTGGGGCAGCCTGACTACACGCGGGAAATTGTTAGTCGGTATCCTGACCTTCAGCCTCGCCAAGTTCCTCTTCCGAAGCTGGATGATGTGGACCTGGAGGACGAGATTCTTCAGGAGGATGTGAGAAAATGTCAAACTGTCATTGGTGAACTCCTTTGGCTATCAACACGCACCAGGCCTGATCTGAGCTTTGCGGTCTCCTACCTGGGCTCCAGAGTGACAAAATGCCCGAAGAGAGTGCTCAAGTTGGCTCATCATGTGGTGGGGTACCTCATGAACACCCTTGACTATGCGCTCGCCTATAAGCCCTGCTCCGAGGAGATGGACTCCTATGGCCGGCAGTGCTCGATGTCCAGGCTGGAGGTGTTGGCAGACTCGTCGTTTGCACCAACTGGAGGAAAGGGTCATCAGGGCATCATGTGCCTGTGGGGTGGTGCTTTGGTGGCTTGGGAGTCGAAGACTCAGCCCTTTGCAACGCTGAGTACAACGGAATGTGAACTTCTGGGGTATGTTGATGGCCTCACCCTGGGAGAAAGTGTTGGAGCGATTGTCAACGTCCTCGAGCAGAATGCGCTGGCCCATGAAGGCTGCTATGTTTTGCGAGGCGACAATTTGTCAGGTTTGCAGCTGCTGCATGCCCCAAGCGGGCCCTGGCGGACGAGACATCTTCGGCTCCGCAGCCATGTTTTGAGGGAACGGCTGCAGATGAAGTTGTGGCATGCGGAGCACATCCCTGGAGCTGACCTATGCGCTGACCTGTTGACCAAGGCGATCACTGTGCCTCGGAGCTGGGAATCATTTGCTTCTACGGTGGGGCTTGTTTCGGTGGAGCCGGAGGCGTCTGCGGAGGACCCTGCGCTTTCTCGCTTGAAGAAGTTGGCGCTGGGTGCGGCGGTGGCGTTGGGACTGTTAGTGGTGGCTCCAGGCCTGGGCACTGCGGTCCGAGCGGCATCGGTGTGTGGACTGGCAGCGTTGACGGCGTTTGTGCACAAGAAGTGTTCGAAGACGGCAGATGGCCAGTCAACAAAGAGGTCTAACGCATCCCATTCAAAAGAAACATCAAGATGGTCGAGGGAAAATGAACCCGGCCCAACATCAAGATGGTCGAGGGGAAATGAACCCGGCCCTATCGAATGCGGGAGGAACACAACCTATAGAACCTCCCCGTCCGTCGATCGCCCGACTTCGTTCGACTGTTGCCGAACCAGCACCCCGAGGGTTACCAAGGGTTTTGTTTCGCCTTGTAGCCATGGCCGAATGCGGATGTGCGCCATGAAGGCGCCGCCGACGAAACCTCCGCCTAGGCATGTGGGCCTGGCAACGGATGAGCCTTGGGAGCTTGCTCGCTTCATGTCGCCGCCGACTGGCCTGGACCGGTGGGAATGCCTTGGATGTGGCACCGCCAGTGGTGATTGGTGGGTGAGGGTCCTCAAAAGGCCTAGGGTGCGGCAGTTCCATCCGCTCCATAGGGGGACGCCTGTTTCGATCGGACGTCTCTCGCCAACCCGGATCACCGTGGTCTTCAGCCGGGGGAGCACAAGAGAAGCCTGGCGTCGACGATGCATCATCGATGACTGGGTGGAGAACAGAAATTCGGATGTCAGAGACTGCTATGAATGGTGTGGCTACACGTTCTTCTTCGAGAAGTTTGGCCCAGAGGCTGGCACTGTGGAGGGCGAGGAAGCGATGCCTTCGCAGGCTCAAATGCCACTGTGGCCTGGAGCTGGAGGATCTCAACCCCGTGAAGGGTATGGAGGTGATGGCGGCACTTCTTCGCATGCTGCGGAGAGGGGTCGGAAAGCTGTGGAGGCCTTAACTGGCACTTCATTTCAGATGTCACGTGCCTATGACGGCACGGCAATCACTGCACGAGTCAATGTGACCTTGGAGGGTGTCCCCGTGAGCGGCTATGAGGCAAGGCGCCTTGGGTGCTTGAAAAGGGGAGAGATCGGGCCGTCCGCTTCATCGAGGGCGGAGGATCCGAATGAGGAGGCATGGAGGGTCTCGCTGGAGGATGAGCGGTTAGTTCCGCCACAAGCTGATGATTTGCCTGTTTGGATGGGCGTGAACACGCCAGTAGTGGGGCCTCCAGGATTGAATTCTGATGGCGAGGACTCGCGATCGGCTGGAAGCTTTGAATTTTTGGGTGAAGCCGTGGAAGAAAAAACCTACGGTGGATCCCCATAGGTATGCTGGTTTCATTGACCCAGCATAGGGGGAGTGTGAATGGAAAAACGCACGACCCAAAGCATACCTTTTCATGAAGGTCATGAACACCTGAGAAAGGTGAACCGGTCAATACGACCTGCGTTTGGCTCAAGGAACAACGTGAGCGGCTGTTTTTTGTCGGTCGCTCTTGAGGCTTTTTCCATAACCACAGATTTAATCCAAGGCTTGCTGTTGCTGTCCTGGACACCAGGGGCCCCATTGGGCGTCCAACGGACGAAGCCTCCCAAGTTCTCAAGGTCGAGGTCCTGAGAAAAAGCAACTTCCATGACTTCTTTATCAAAAAATGGAAGGACTCTCTTAGGTGGAGCCATCTCTATTAGGTTGGAGGCCATTGAGATTAGGTTGGAGGCCATCCCTATTAGGTTGGAGGTCATTGCTATTAGGTTGGAGGCCATCGCTATTAGGTTGGAGGCCATCTCTATTAGGTTGGAGGCCATCGGGCCATCGCTGGTAGGTTGGAGGGCATCGACATTAAGTTGGAGGCCATTGCTCTTAGGTTGGAGGCCATCGCTATTAGGTTGGAGGTCATTGCTATTAGGTTGGGCGCCATCTCTATTAGGTTGGAGGCCATCGACATTAGGTTGGAGCCCATCGCTATTAGGTTGGAGGCCATCGTCATTGCTATATATTGCTATTAGGTTGGAGGCCATCGCTGGTAGGTTGGAGGGCATCCACATTAAGTTGGAGGCCATCGCTCTTAGGTTGGAGGCCATCGCTATTAGGTTGGAGATCATTGCTATTAGGTTGGAAGCCATCTCTATTAGGTTGGAGGCCATCGTTATTAGGTTGGAGGTCATTGCTATTAGGTCGGAGGCCATCGCCTTTAGGTTGGCCTATTAGGTTGGAGGTCATTGCTCTTAGGTTGGAGGCCATCTCTATTAGGTTGGAGGCCATCGCTAGAAGGTTGGAGGGCATCGACATTAAGTTGGAGGCCATTGCTCTTAGGTTGGGGGCCATCGCTATTAGGTTGGAGCCCATCGCTATTAGGTTGGAGGCATCGCCTTTAGGTTGGAGACCATCCCTATTAGGTTAGAGGTCATTGCTATTAGACTGAAAAAGCTCGACGGCTCCCCTTTTTGCCGTCCCGGTGCCACGACGGGCTGCGGTTAATCGACACCAGCCCCCCCCTTTGGAGCTGACGTCCGCCGCTGCCGAAAAGCTCGTTTTCGAGCGGCAGCATCACTCCGGAGCTTCTTGGCTTGGCCGCCTCGGTGTCTTTGAGTGCCCAGCTGCCCATGGCCATCACCTTCATCAAGCGGCCGTTGCCAGCGAGCTTTGTGAGATCATCCGCAATGATCTCCTCGCCGGGCACCCATCTCACCATCCTCGAGGCGCCGTCCTCCTGGAGCGCTTGGCGCATCGCCGCCACATCGATGGCGAGGCGCTTGTCCTCTCCCAACGCTGAGCCATTGAGGAGATCGTAGCCAGTGCGCGAGTCAAGCACTGACAGCTGCCTCCATTTGGCCACAGCACCCAACCAGCCGCAGAGCGTGAACGCTCCATCCAGGGCCTCCGCCATGAATGCCCTCGTGTAATCCGCCTCCTCCATGGTCGGTGCGGCCTGGGAGATCTCGGCTGCTAGCGACGAACGAACCGCCCTTTGAGCACACCTGCAAGCGATCACACAGACAGGCGCTTCTCCTTCTAGCACCTGGGAATTGGCCACCACCAAAACTGACCCTCCTTGTAATCGGCCTCGAGGCATGCCAGCAAAGGAGGCATCGGACACTCCGACGACGATCAACTGGTCCATGCCACATCCAAGCTTCTTGAACACCTGGGTGTGTGGCTCACATGCCCGCTCCACCAGCACCTTCAGCTCCTGCAAAGCGGCCGGGTCGTTGGCGCCTGCCAGCTGCTGGATCCTCGAGCACCCATACAAAAGATCAGCTCGGGCCTGCCGCGCCAACCAGTTCAACTGCCCAATGATCACACCGATCCAGGACTTCTCATTGGGCATCAACGGAGCCATGGCCCTGAAAGCTGATCTCAATGGAGGATCCTTCACCTTCTTGGCATACTCGTTCATCTGCAGCTCAGCTGTACCGTCGGGTAGTTGTCGTTCACAGCGGCCACAAAACTTGGTGAACTCCTCGGGGTGCACCCAGTCACCGAAGGTGAACAGGCCCTTGAGCTTAGGACACAGTTCCTTCTCGGCCACCTGACTGCAGATCATCAACATGCAGGGCCAGCATGGCCCAGAGCTTGACTTCGGTGTCAAAGAACGAAAAGACACCTGGAGCAAGCTGCAACTCCTTGCCACCAATGGCGATGATGTCCCGCCTGAAGCGTTGGTACCACAAACGAGGTGACTCCGCTAGGCCAAAGCCCGCCTTCTTCATGCGGAAAAGGTCCGTTCTGGCTCCTGGTGGCACCTTTGACATCAAATACTGGCGGACAAAGAGTGGATAGTTGGTGGGCGATTTCAAAAACGCCCGCCGCCCCTCTGGAAGATAATCGCCCTGGAGAAAGGCAGCTGAGATGTCGGCGAAGTACATCTTCCAGTTGAACTGAGCGGCCACCAAGCAAATGAAATTGTGGGCCAAAAGTGAAGCTGTTGGCGCTTCAGTTGCGTAGTCTCCAGCGCGTTGGTCACGATGACCGGCAATCACCAGTCGGGCCTTGAGCTTGGCGTCATCCAGATCCTCATCTGCAGGATGCGTGTTCTTTGGGTCAGCCTTGTTCACCAGCACGAAGCGACTGGGCAGGATCTCTGATTCATGAACGGGATCCTCTGGCATGACGGGCTCCAGGGCATCGTGCTCAAAGTAAATCTCCAAGCGATGATGGGCTGCTTGAAGGCAGTTGGTTCCACTGCCAAGAGGATCCAACGATGCTCTTTGGACATATGAATCTTCAGATGGAAGCTTTTTGTTTAAAACGATGCCGCGTGTTATAAAAGCTGTCGCGCCAACTTACTGCAAAGGATTGCAATTGCGTGTGTGCATTTCAGCAAAGACAACACATAATGAGGCTCAAGAAAAACAGGAACATAACTTTTTTTCACCACACTTGCCATTTTTTACCACACAACACACCCAGCTTTATAATATATTTATGCTGGGCTGCAATCTTTGTGTGTGCAACCATGCAAAGCGCAACGGTTTTTTTATCTCGATTTTGGCGTGGTTGTTTGCAAACATCCATGGAAACGGCAGCGCGCGCTGCCTAAACTTAACAGAAATGGAAACGAAAGCGCGCGCTGCGCAAAAGTAGGCGAAATGGAAACGGAAGCGCCCAACCCCTAAAACCATCGCGTCGCCAGACGCTTCCGTGGAGAAAACTAAACGGAAACGAGAGCGCGCGGCGTCGCATGAATCTGGTGTTCTTATTTTTTTGGATTTCAGTACTATAGAGGTATAGGGTTATATGAATAAAAAACGGAACCCACGGAACTAACCCACCTGATTCACGACAACTCGCGTTCTCGTTTGAGTCCACTCGCTGTCCTCTTGCCGCGGTTCAAGCTGATCGCGGCCATTTTCTTTCCACTTCCCCTTGTGCACGTTCACTTTTTCGTAAGCGACCAAAACCTTTAGGTCAAACATTTCAACTTGTACGTTTCAAACCTGTACGTGAGGCATATGTGTGTGTGTGTTTGGGGTTGCACGTTTCTAGGGTTGAGACACTCACAACACAGACAAAAAGGACTTGCGCGACCCTTTTTCAAATATATATTATAGATATGTATTTATCTAATGATGCAAGACTCCGGATTTCTTACTCCAAAAAAGGAACACGGTTCGAAGTTGCATGGACCTGCGTGGACCTTCAAGTTCTTCAAATCCACATGACTGTACACAACCCACATGCGTTTCAGGTGTTTGAACATCACACCACTGCGTGCTTTTGCATGTTTTTTCTCGCGCGCGGGGCGCCGGGCGGATGGTTTCTGCCCTTCTACCTTGAAGGCTTGGTCTCCCAGCAAGGCTTCAAGACCCCTCGAGACTTGAATGGGTTCCGACACAAACTTATTTGGTGCGTGGTGCACGATTTTCTTTTTGTATCATGTTCAAACCCACTCAAGCCTGTGGCTCCTGGTACTTACGCACCATCAACGCTAGGCACAGCAGGTACCGACTGAAAATGCGGGATGTCATGGTCTTGCCATGGCAGGCAACTGCCAGCATTTTTATGGAACCAAGAAAACTTTCCTCCGAAAAGGTGTTGAAAGAGTTGAGATTAAGGGCAGTTTCCTTCAAGAAAATGGCCTGGTGCATAACATAGTGGCTCTTCGGCCTCATCCGAAAGAGAAGCTCACGTTTCTCAAAAAAATATGAACTCAACCAGCTGAAACTTTTGGCGTGCAACATCAGGGCATCAGCAGCTTCGGAAGCTGAAGCCCAACTCATCACTAGACCACTGGAGTCCAGGGTTTCAATTGCGTGCTGCAGGCTGTAGCAACAGGTCGCAAGAACTTGTAACACTTGGTCCTCAGATCAACGCGTTTCGAAACTGCGACCTCAGGGGTCCTATTTGTGGGGTGTAGTTCAACCCAAATATGAAAATGTGTTCGTTTCATGGCTGGGGGACACCAGGCGACCCATCTGCACACCTTTGGCATTTGAAAGCCACCCACCAAATCAATACCTTAACGTGGATGGCCTTGTACTTGGAAGATAACTCTGCGTAATCGGTGCCTCCCAGGCTGGCATCGTTCAATGGTGGCTTCGCAGGGAGGCTCAACCTGAGAGCCACAGGGAAAACAGGGTTGGCGGCTGTTTTTACCACCCACTTCAAAACTAGTGCCTTTGAGAAACCCATAGGCTTTTGTATCCCGCAAGACTTCTTTGTGGATGTGATCAAAGACCGTTTCCATGTTGTCACTGACATGGGTGTAGACCCCTTGGCGCACTAGGGTTCTTATGGCTGATGCCACTAGATCACGACCTGTTCCCAAATAAATGTTGTGCATCAGGTCAAAAGCCAGCGTTTCAAGCTTCCATCCTGGAACGCATCTCCACACTGAATGTGGCCCTGGCATGGCCAAGTATTGCCGGTGGTCGATCATAGTCTCTCTCCATGCGGCATGGTCAGATGTGTTTTTATAGTTCATACCATCAGGGCATCCCTGTCCACAAGCTGCCAGGCATGAATCGCACATCCTCACATGACCCTATGTTTTTCCAAGAGCCCATGAAATGATCTCCAAATAGAAGAACCAAAGTAGACAAGGAAAGCTTCACTTAATCGATGCTGTGGGACAAATTGGAATTGTAACTCCGAGTGAAGTCATGCATGATCT